ATAATAATAAAATCAAATGAATGATATATTTAAAAAAAACCCAAACCTTTTCTGTTTTTCTTCCTTCTATTCTCATCTGTTCTTTCTCTTTCATCTTATTTCTCTTTTACTTTCTCGTCTTTCCTTCCTCAGTTTCATCCTTCCTTTCTTCCTTCTTTCTTCTGTTTTTTTTTTCTTTTTTCCATTGGGTTCTTTTCTTCTCTTGTCTCCAGTTTCTTTCATCTTTTATTCATTTTTCCATTTTCTTTTTATTCCTTTCTCCTTTATTTTCTTCGTATTTCTTTTTTTTTTTTCGTTTTTCCTCTCTCTTTTTCTTTCTCTTTTATCTTTCCTCTTCACCCTACTTTCTTCCCATCTTTTCTTTTCCCATACCATTATTCTATCTTTCCATTTTTGCGTTTCATTCCTTCCTTTCCCACGTATTTCCCTCTGACAGAAACGCATTTCTTAAACTAACATCAATCCATCTTACTTCTAGAAACTCGATTCTGTTTTGATAAATTCCCCATCGTCTCCAGTTGAATCTGTCTGAAATTCGAACCTAGCCGTATTCGCAGCCCATTCGCTGAATTACAACCAATAAAATTAAAGGGATGAAATTCAAGACCTCCACCGACAGACACTCTTTGATTACAGGCATAAACAACATCCGGGCCTTCAATAAACAAATACCTTCTTTCAACAGTTACGATGTCTGCATAATATTTGTTTAGAGTAATTAAACAGAAAGTGATCTTGTCGGCTTAATTAATACGCTCGTTCACTTCCTTCTACTTTTCTCGAATATTCACAAAATTAGCCGACAAATGCAAGTCTGGAACAAGGCCATCTCTCTGAGTACATCAGTACCAATGCTTCAGAAGACGTAAATTTCATAAATTTGAAGACGTTATTTTTAAAGCGTGACACAAAATAGCATTGTGGACCAATTTAAAAACATACCAAATAATAACTAAAGGACATAGCTTCCGGGAATTAATAATCAGTAAATAAACAAAGGGTAATCGGTAGTTTTCTTCGATTTTTATTTCCATCATCACCATCACAACAATCCACAAAATTATTTATGACAATTATTTAATAATCGAATATTGAGTGCATAGATTCGTATAATTAGGTCGAGCCATAAATAATTTCCATTTTTGCTTATGTTGTAGCATACCTATGAACAATAATGGGTATGTCCGCATTCACATAAATAGAGTAGTAAATACTGTATGTTGAACTGCAGTTGGGTCCCCAGACGAGGCTATGTCGAAGAGCAAGACTCGTCTCGGGAAACAGCTATCCGACCCCGATTTATACGGGGGTCTACGGGGAATTTTTGGCCGAGCCTACGGGCTCGAATACCCCACGTTTAATTGTGCCACAGTTGACTGCTTGGGGCGGTTGATAGATATCCCGCAGTTGGAGATTTATTGTAAATAAAATTCATTTGACTCACTTTTAGCAGTTGACTACTTCTTCTACGCGCCGCTGGCGAATTTTATATGTGTTGTTCTTGACCTAAGTATTATTGTTCATTACCAACCTTCGTTTGATTTTTCTATTCAGTAACTTTTCCTCCGCTTACAACAGCTTATCAACTCTATTCTTTCCAAAATAAATTACAATTACATTTTATTCACTTATATAAACACAATTATTTGTAATGTGTTGTTGTCACTTAGGCTTTTGAGTAAAATTCTCCAGGTTCTAATGTGAAAAATTTTTTGACGAATTCTTCAATCTGATTTTTATTAGAGAAATCGGTTGGTGCAAGGTCAAATGTATATGGTGAGTAGGGTAGAAAAGCCTTAGTTCTCAAATGTTTTCTTGTGCTATTCTTACTGTATGCATCCTTGTATTTTTCTTATTGACGAGCGTGGAGCGCTTTTCGACTAAAATTTTATGGACATGTTGCAGCTGCTGGGCGTATAAATGTGCATTTGATATTTCGTCGCGTTTTAAGAATTTCAAATAAATAACACGCCGACGATTCCACCACACGCACAATATTAACTTTCTTCCATGCAGCTCAGCTTTTGAATGTTGGTTGTGGAGATTTATCTTTGTCAATTACTTTTACGTTGAAAATTGTAACCAGTCTTTCATCACCTGTCATCATATATTTAAAGAACGGTTTATTTCTCTCTTGTGAACGGAGAGTCTTGTTGCTATGAATAAAAGATCTGCTTTCTGCTTTTCATTAAAAGCGTGTGAATCCCAAACACCCAGCTTGCTAACTTTTCACATTTTTTTCTAAGTATCAGCATATGGTAGATTGTGATGTGTTTAACATTTTTGCTAATTCCCAAGTACGTTTATCGTGGATGACTTTAGAGCTTCATCATCAAAGTTCGATGAACGGACCCCGATCTGAGTTCATCTTCCACCGATGTTTCTCCAGAACGAAACTTTGGTAACCAATTTCACACTTGTCAGGTAATTATAAGTCCTTGATTATAAACACTGCATATTTTTCTAGATGTCTGAATAGCATTATTCCCTTGCTTAAGCAACCATAACATTAAATTTACTTTCAATCTCTCCATTAATAGTGATAAGAAATTTTTTCTTTAATGCACTGTGTACGCTATTATTGTCATACAGAACTAAGGCATGCTAGAGTACTTTTTTAATCGAGTTCACCCAATGCAAGGGAGTAAAGCCACTGAGACACAAGTGTGTGTGGAAGAATTAGAAACAGAAACGTTACTAAGGAGCAAGAACAAAAGAAAAGTAATCAGGACAGTAAATGGCGATTGGCATTGCATTTAGATTTTTGCAGATTAAAGTTGGCTGGAAAGCATGGAGCCGAAAAAGGGTTCCACAAGCAAGAAGTACAAGAAAAGAAAACTTACGGTTGCATCTAGTTAGCTCAACTGTAAATTGATAAGATCTCGTCGCCAGCTTAAATTTTTAAAAAATCTAGGCACCGCAGCGAAAAGTTAATCTGAACAATTATCATGAAATTATTTATAGAAAAGGCACAGGGAGGCAACCTTACGTCGATCCTTAAAATGACAAAAGGCGAGACGTAAGATCAGGGCCAATGATATTGCTGATTTTTCTTTGGATTTTCCAAATTTATTCTTAATTTTCACGTAAGATTACGATGATACATTTGACATTGGAATTGGTTCTCCAAAACGGAAATTACTTATGACTCCACTTAATATTTTCGGAGTTTGATATTTTAATTGCATGGTAAATGAATGTCACTTATAAACAGTGTAAATCCGCGTCTGTTGTGATATGTACTGATCACTGAGATATTTCAGATACTGCTTCAGCATTTGTTTATAGGATCCAACTGCTGCTCAAAAAAGGTTCTTATTTCAAACTAAAGCGAATAGCTCTTAAAAAATATATATTTTTAAACCCATGGGATCGTACTGATCCATTGCACAGAGGTGTGGGGATGGGCGATTAACTGACTTTTTTTTACTAAAAGAACAATGCCATAAACTCGGACATCAGGTTCTTTTTCACTGAAAATCATTCTTGATTTTTTTTTATTTTGCTTCATCATTTATTTTTATTTCTATTTGTTTGTTTTTTTCTTAAATTTCTTTCCTTATTAATTTTTCTTTTGTTTCACTTATTTATTCTTTTTCTTTTTCATTTCTTTTTCTTTTTCATTACATCCATTTTTTCCTTCCTTCATTTCTGCTAATCCATTCAGAACTTATTCGTTCCACCCATAAAATAAATAAATAAATAAAAATGGCGTCGTATATTTTTCGGACGCCCTACACCGGAAGTCGATACTCAAACGGTAGTCATTAGAATTTGTAAATGCACCGGGTGCGTTGAGTTAAGCCAGATGTGGACTGACAATCTCGGAGCATTTATTTAGCTCCATGGTCTAAGCAAAAATTACTCGTGTCGAGGTGTTAGGTTATATTTTGGGGAAAATGCGAATACTTACAGGCAATGAAACCCTGTCCAACTTTATATCCGTACTCGTCCTTCTATTACAGGCACTTAAGCAGAGGTTAAATATACATATCTAATATATCCAGTATATCTATATTTAAACGATATTTTTAGTTGATACCTGTATTTGAGTAGATCTTTCGCTTTTTTAATTTTTATTTTAAACAGTATTTATTTCGTTTATCAGCTTGCACACTCTTGAAAACTTATTAAAGTACATGTACCCACCTTTGCAGGAGAAACCACCGTCTGATTTGGCGTGCTTTAATCACGCGGCAACGAAGAGCTTCACAATCAAGCAAGGTTCTATTTGCCTTAAAAAAAACAAACAAAAAACACTCACCCGTTTAGATTGATCGAACCTGTCAAATGGGGTTTGTAAAAATTTCGGGTGAAGATTTCTCGCTTATCGATGCTCCACAGTCAGACAGACTAATTATGATTCTCTTAGGATCCCACATCGTCTCAGCTGGAATCATCCATAAAAAGATTCGCATAGCAACTGTCTACCCATCCCGACTTTGTGTAATCTTTTGTTCAAACGACTTTCTGATAGAGGGGGACAGTTAAAAAAAATACTTGGCTAAAGTGTTTTCTCTCCATCTCCTAAAACCTCGTTCAATTTCATAGTCGGTGAATGAGTTTGAAATAAGCCAGTCACTCTAGATGACAGTTTTTCTTCATGAACGTATAATTCCTTATGGTAATAGTAGTGGTAATAACCGTTTCCGTACAGGAAACATTCACTATTCGTTGCATTACAGTCGAGTGAATTTCATAATTCTTTTTCTCGGTTGATTTTGTTCAGCGGCATATCAACCTTTATTATTTAATGCCGATTTCTACGCAATTTGTATTTTTTGTACGCAATTTTATTATTTTTTTTTTGTGATAATAATATTCTCAATGATACAAGTCTTACTAATTAACCCATAGTTGGGAGGAGAAGAGGTGGATTCACACCTTTCCCGAGGGTATTTGCGCGTAAATGAATATAACAAATTCAACTGATATTTTAACTCGGCTCTCAGATTTCCAATTTCCAGCCGTTATCCATTACACCATTCGCACATTAAATCTTGCTGCACCTGGTATTCCTAAGCGGTCACCCATCTAAGTACTAACCAGGCTCGACGTTGCTTATATTATGTGATCGTATTGGAACCGGTGTATGAAAGTGTTGAAACTTGGATAAGCATGGAATAATAATAATACAACACAAAATGTACGTTAACAAAATGTATTGAAACAAGGAAAAGGTACACAATATTTACAGTTAGTTTTGGTATATTCTTGGGAAGACTGTTCCTGCATAATGGAATGACTAAATCGCAGTCGGGCAGAGTCTCTGGATTCGATCTCTTAATCTTCCCCCGTCTTCCGGTACCAACCCATATTTATATGGTCGGTACTCCACTTATGTAAATTAGGTGTATCATACACAACAGAAAGTGATGTGGCCGTAAACTCTTTTTCTTAAGCTTTTCAGGAAAATAGGCCTTTTGTTATCACTCTTTCCATGATCGCTGGGAATTTCCTTCCTAACCTTTTTTGAAGGTTGTGTGGAAAGTCAACATTTAGATTATAGCATTAAATTCCTTTCCAATTACATGTGTTCCAATATCTGCTGTTGCTATTGCAGAAATGTTCAATGGCGGTAGCGCTTTCTATTTGGAAAAGCCGTTTGCTATCCTGTAGCGCCAGTGTATAGGTTTTGATAAAGGTCTAAAGGATTCATTCGCTTGAAGCCTATTTAATTATTGATCTGAGAAAACGTTGTATATAGATGGTAGTTGATACATTTCAGAATGTATATCATCCACATGAAAGGCTATCTATGAATATAATGCAGCTCCTCAGGTTAATATTTTGCTTTGTAGTAACGCCGGTCGGAACATCTACCTCTATCCTGCAGCCTAACCTGTGTTCAATTTCCTTATCTCTAAATTTGTTACAACTGATCCATAAATAGATGTATTTGAAGTGTTGCAAGTTTATTAATTCAACATTCTGAACTAATCCATAGATTCAGGATGTTCATTGTTTCTATTTTGGAAAAGTCTATTTTGAGTCCTACTGAATTTTTGAATGTTCGAGGACGATTTCTTCACATCTGTGCTGGCAGCTTTTCCAAATTATCTTTTGAATTTTAAAAATAAATCAAACTCGCATGTTATTTCATTTGCGTTCACTTGATACGCGAGTGTTTGTCAAATCAACTCTTAGCTTTTAACGTAACTCTTTGCTCACCTATTTTTTTTTCTCTCGCCATGAATTTGCTTTCACGGTTTTGTTTCGAATTCGCATTTGAATTCTAATATTTATCTGAATCGATGGACGACATTGTTATTCACAACCCTGAACGCCACAAACATATTTCTCAACTTTTGTTCTTGTCAGAAACTAAAAAAAAAAAAAAAAAATTCTTTCTCCCCTTCTCTTTTTCGAAGGGAAAAGAGAAATGAAAACTCTGTTTTTCCTTTAGACAGGTTTTTGTACGCATTGCGCAAGTTGAATTCCCTGGCATCAGTTACGAGGTTGAGAATAAGTTGGTACGTGTGGTCTTTTAAAACCGAAAATGAATTATTAAATTAGTTTAACTGCAACGGATACGAGCAAACTTGTGAAATCCGACGTGAGTGGTTTTTCTTGCTACGGCTGATAAAATGAAGACATTTGTTGGAATCATCAGCATTATACCATGCAAGAAATAACCAATATACTTAAAATATCCAAATCAATTTTTTTTCTTATAGCTTTGATTATGTTAGTCATTTTGATGTGTGTCTTCCACATAATAAAAAACAAAATAAAATAAAAAACTTACTGAACCCTTTTTCTATGTGTGATTCCCAGCTTAAAAAAATAATAAAATGTTTCGATTTTGAAAGAAATAGTTTCAGGTGTTGAAAAGTGGATAATTTACAGCAATATAGAATGCATGAGACAAATGAAGTAAATTCCTACTTCATCAAAATAAAGCGATACTGTGATTAGAAGAGAATCTTTTTTTCTTTTATGAATACTTTTCAGAGCACCAAACAATCGATTTGAGCATTTACAGCACACGTTTAGACGAATTTAATACAACAACCGACTAAAATCTCCTATACGGATTTAGTTAAGAGAAAACACGAAACATTCCATCAGGAGGATGTTTCTTAGGTGACCTGTTAAAACTGTTAAGTCTTGACTGGGAAATCTTTACTCATTTGATGTATTCGCTTGATATTGACTTTGGGGTGGGGGCATTTGTTCTATTCTTAAATGATTTCTATTGATTATTTTTTTAAATCACTGGAAGACTGCAAAAAGCTCGTAAATCACTTCTTTGAAAGAAAAAAAATATGAGAGGACGCATTTATGAAGCTGCATGAAACATGAAGAAAATACTTTATTCAATAAAGTTTATATAGAACGTCGTCTTTTTTATTATTAAAACGAACGAATCTTTTGGCCAACCTATTAACTATACAAGAATAACATACAAACAGAACAACAGATAAAAAAACACGCATTTATACCCGTCCGCATTGTTCTGCAAGTAATACGAGATCTTATAGAAAAATAATTTAGATGTGAAGTTTCGAATCTTACCCAAGTGATAGCGAGGCCACGTCAAGTAGTGTTACTCATCAAATCTGTAAAAAACAATTTCACTTTACAATCTTATTTTTACAAGAGTTATGTAGCTATCTTCTTGCTAAATTTACAATACTGAGCTTATTACTATTCATCTATCACTTTCTTTCATCCGTTCTTTTTCTATATCACTATTTCTTCTGTCTTGTTCCCTCTCTTTAATTCATGCACATATTCTATCTATCTATCTATCTATCTATCTATCTATCTATCTATCTATCTATTTCTTTTTCTATATTACTGTTCGTTTCTTTCTCTCATTCTGTTTATCTATCTTAGTCTGTTCGTTTCTATATTTTATTATGTTCGTATTCATCTATCTATCTATCTATCTATCTATCTATCTATCTATCTATCTATCTATCTATCTATCTATCTATCGCTGTCTGTTCATATCTATCTATCTATCTATCTCATTCTGTTTCTGTATCTCTAAGCCTGATCGTCTCTCATTCTGTTTGTCTATCTCAGTCTCTTCCTCGCTTTCTCTGTCATTCCCTTCATATCTATCTATCTATCTATCTATCTATCTATCTATCTATCTATCTATCTATCTATCTATCTATCTATCTCAGTCTGTTCGCATCTATCTATCCCAGTCTGTTCATATCTATCTATCTATCTATCTATCTATCTATCTATCTATCTATCTATCTATCTATCTATCTATCTATCTATCTATCGCTGCCTGATCTATCTATCTATCTATCTATCTATCTATCTATCTATCTATCTATCTATCTATCTATCTCACTAGCTAACTCCCGATTCAGTTAAGAATCTCTTCAATCTTGTTAAACACCCATGTGGATAAAAGCAACGATTCTGATAGCATGTCGAACAGCACCATCTATTTAAACATTCCGTACATTACTCAACCAGCCTGTCTTCCTTAATTAAGTCTCCATGAAATTAAACAGACAAATCAAAAGCGTATCATTTTCTTCACTTGTACAGTTGGATAGTCTCTGTTCCTCTCTTTTGAATCCCACACGCAAAAATCCAAAAGAAAAATCTTCATCATTCTGACTTTGATTACATTTCGAACACTTCTCTCCTCCACTTTCTTCAGTATTTACTGAATTTATCTGATGAAGAATTATCAGTATGTCAAAGGTTATTTCACATATATCGTACCCATTGTTGTTTCGGTCGCAACACTTCGGTTGGTGTTCTCGCTAGACTTCCTCACTATTGTCCAATGTCCTGTGTTATCAATATTCCAAATGTTATGCTCTGTTGTTTTTGCAAGCATAGAAATTTGTGATAAAGAAACAACAAGAAGGTGATAGCAAAAGTCATCAAGATCGTCATCTTTCTTTTAATCCAACCAAAACCTTTATTTACATTTACTATTTGTGATTCTTTCAATCTACGGTACTTCAAGGTCATGGTAGCCATAGTATAATGATTTGGCTTAGAAGTCTTTTTGTTTGAATTTAACAGTGTAATTTATAATACATGATAATTCGACCAAGCATCTAATCTAACCTGGATTTAGAAATATGTATGGTGGGGAGATGATATAAATTTCAAAGAAGTTCGTAAAAGCGATGCTTAACAAGTTTGCCCTGCGAACTAGCTTCATTGTGCTGATTTCTTTTTTTTTTTACTGGTTCTCCAGCAACAAACAACATTGATTTTATATCCAATTTATTGCTTCTTTGTTGGCTGATGTAGATGTCTAGTTATCCCCAGTGCCAGAATTTGATCTCAGATAAAATCCAACATTTTCATTATTTTAAAGCAGGTAGAAACTTCTCATTTAAAAGATTGACGCAACATAATCTTCGCTTCCTAATTGACTAAGCTAGGCTATTTTCATAAAGCGAATGCTGTAGAATTATGACTAGCAGTTTAGTTTCGTAGGTTTTTATAGTGATTTAGAACCTCACTTTATGCTCACTTAATAAGGCCTTGTGCCAGTCTACTCTAAGCGTATTATACATCTAACGACAGGATATATGCTAGAGTATATAAAAATGATACGAAAATCAGAAATATATATATACAAAACACGTAAATATATATTTTTTCAAAATTGTTTCAAGTTGGTACTAAATTTTAAAAAAGTATGCAATATATTCGTACAGAAAAATGATTTTTGACTTTTCGAGAACCTAATGAGGAAAACTCATGAGCAAAATAAAATATTTGGCATCATCCTGTGATATTTAATCCCTGATTCCATGTTGAATTCTTAATGCAATCTTTGCAATTCCGTGCGTGGTATTTTTATTCTGCCATTACAAATCGGCGCTTATTCAATGCACAAAAGAAGGGTTTGGCGTGATAAGAGTGTCCAATATAAAGAAGAAATGACCCCCCCCCACTGTAAATGTTTTACAGGTTCACAGAATGACCTTGTAGATTTTGAGTGTATAAGTATGAAAAAAAAAATGAACGAAATAAAGACACTGTCAAACGCGTTATTCGGTAGAATGTTTTTGTTTAACAATGAAAATACACAGGAACTTCTTCCTTTTTTTTATAAGAAGCTAACGAGAGGAGTAGGAAAATAATCAAACGTAT